TTTTTTTTCTCATCTTATTTCTATGTATTGATAGAATGATCAATGAAATCCAAGTTATTATTACCACCAATATGGATCATTATTGATGTTCGAAAAATGTAATTCCCTGTAACTGTCATTGTTTACAGTGTTTCAGGAAAAAAGAAACAAAAACAGCTACCTCAAAAATTGGAACGCATGTTGACAGAACTTGAAAAACAACAGTAGCAGCAGTGGTAGTCACTCTTTCAGTGTGCTCCCATTTTTGGACACACCCTGTTGGTGAATAAACTGACTTGACTTGAACAATCAAACTAAGTCCTTTTCATTTTTACCTGACTGGAGGTGTTCAAGCTCAGTTTTATCTATTTAGTGAAGAGGTGAAGTAATGACAAGTTGCAACACCATTCATCATGCAACTGGTGGACGATGGCAACGCTGGATAAAATACAAACACTACACTGTGAGTGGGATGAAGCTACTGTATCTGAGGCCCACAGAGGAGCAGATTAGGTATGCAGATTGGAGAGAGGAGCATCCTGCCTTAAAACTAAATGACTGTGTTCATCCATCACGCCTCATGTCCCACATGCTCAGTGGGTCTTTGTGCGTGTTTAGGTGTGTTGGGCTCCAGTTGCATTTCCATAATTGCGTTTGCAACTTGTTATTTATCAAACAGAGCGCTTCAAGCCAGCACACATATTCATTTATCTTTTTGGTGACCTTTTTCCAGGGGAAAAAAAAAAGAGTGCTGTAGCTATTTGTTTTTTTCTGTGGGGGTTTTAGCCCTCGGAAAGGGTTGGGAGCGCATACTGTATGTGTTTGACACTTGATAATTACATTTCAAGGTAGCCTCGTTCAATTCTCGCCATTGACGTCATGCCTTAAAACATGCTTGTGAACGCAAAGCGTCAAAACCAAATGTCACATTGTCACTTATGGAGCAAAAATATTAAAAGCTCTGCTTTTTGCTGTGGTAAGGGCAGCACTTATGGTGCAATATTTTCAACAATTCATGTATGACAGATGGGAAGGATTATGACTACTTTTATGACGACATATAGCAGAAATTACCTTCAGATGTTGGCTTTCAGCATTCAACTAGACGAGGCACACAGAGGCACTCAAGTTACTCTATACAGACGTGAAAGCTATGACATTTTAAAACGGTCCATAAGGGCAAAACAGGAAGGATATGACATGTACTTAAGTCTGTCATGATTCGGTTTGGGACCAACAGGTGGCACTGTAGGGCTCTGCCTGCAGCTGCACGCCTCATAGGTCATTATGTAATTAGTGCTTTAAAAGGACTCCCAGCCCGAACACTCAGTGTCGGGTCATTGTTGCTCTTTGCTACTGTCATGTTTGTTCCGGTCATGTTTCTGTTCTAGTTTTTTGAGCTTCACTCATGGTTTTGATTGATACTTTGGATTCGTTTTGGTTGTTAGCACGTTGTTTTGGATTTAGTTTTCTCTGTGTTTTATTAAATACAATTCGTCAAGTTCACCCTGCTCCTCCCTCGTGCCTGCTTTTTGGGGTCCACCACCACCACGCAAACGTGTGAAAGCATTAACATTTACATTCAAGTCGATGGACGATTTAGCGCAGAGGTGTCCAACTCTGGTCCACGAGAGCCCTTATCCAACATGTCTTGGACATCTAAAACATGCTGGATAGGGGCCCTCCAGGACCGGAGCTGGACACGCCTGATTTAGAATATTCCATTAGCCTAGCATGCATGTTTTTGCAGCAATGTTCCTAACTGTGAGGCAGACATGCGAGCCACAACATCACCGTGCCGCATGGGCGTCATTAGGCCTATTTTAGGGAGGCTTCAGCCTCCCTAAAAATGTCTTTAGCCCCCCTAAATAATTTCATTGCATTATTTAAAAAAAAGTATTATTTATTTTTCCTGTACTTTTGCTAATATATTGCATCAAATTCAATGTAATGTGGCCATTTTAAATTATATTTCGATAACCTGCCATCATTGTGATGTTAAATCTCCCAGGTTTCCTGAACGCAACAGGTGTTGCGTTTGCTTTTGACGTGTCTGTCACCATCGCCACATCAAGTGCTAACGCAACAACTGACAGTTCATTGCGAAAGTCAGGTTGAATCGCA